CGTCAACTGGAACAAGTCAGTTTTCTTTCTACCCAAGCGATTCTTTTTGACTGTTCAATGGGGAATGAAACGAGTGGACGCAGGCAAGGCAACTTGATTTCTGGGAGTCCGGGTGGCACTGGGGGATTATTCCTCTTCCCAATACCTTATCCTACAAAAAAAGGTGGTCAAAAGGGTTAAGAGTTGGGGAAAGGCGCAACATCTATCTCTAATTGGAAGAGCGCTGGCAGTTACTGTGTCAACTTTTGCCCTCTTTTGGTATGTTGTATCAGTAAAAAGACTTAGCCCCCCACTATTGAAAACGGTCAGGAAGATGACAAGGAGTTTTATTTGGAAGCCGGAGGGTAACCAGGAGAGTGGTTTCATCTCCAAGGTCGCGTGGGATGTCATCTGGACCCAGAGAGAGGAGGGAGGCCTAGCGGTAACGGACCCGGGAGCCCAAAACACGACATTGATGGCCAAATGGGTGGTCCGCGTGGCCACTGCAGAGGAGCAGGTGGAGTGGATCCTGCTGGCGGAAGCTCTGTTGGCCAGCGAATGGTGCTTGACCAGACCTTCTGATGTTTGGATTGCAATCATGTCGGAAACCTACACCTGCAAACGTCCAAATTCAAGATTTTGGCGCGAGGTTCTGTTAGCCTGGAGAAAGTGCAGACCCACGGGGAGCTGCGAACCAGTCACGAAGGGAGAGGTGCGTAGACAGATGCTTTTTGAGAACACCAAGATCAGAGGGAGGAACGGTAGGTGGTTCTCACTGGCCAGAGAAGCTGGCTCCTTCGGTCGGAGCTGGTTACAAAAAGGTATCTCCACTATTGGAGACCTTTGGGATGATTCCACTAACAGATGGAAAACTCAGCAGCAGTTGGGAATTGTTCTGGGCCAGCTTCCCGAGCAGGAAGAACGGCTGCAAGCACTGTTGGAAGCTATACTAGAGGAGTGGAAGCGGCTTCTTGGGCCTAAAGGAGTGGACCCCCCGGGAACTTGGTATGAATGGGTGTACGAAGGTGAGACGTGGTTTTGCAGATTGGAGAGCTGGTCTGAGGACGGGGTCGGGAAGTGCTGGCTGGAAACTTACAAAAGAGCGCTCCCCAACCAACCATCTTTGGATCGTTTGGGGATTCAACTGAAGTACGGAGTCTCCGACCTGAATGAAGTCAGAGTGACCCTTAAACCGCCCTCGCAAGCTGGTCATCCGCCGATTCCTCATTTGGTGGGGAATGGTTTGCCATTGAATAGTCTTAAGATCGACCCAGCTGCTTGGTTCTGGCAATTGGAGGACAAGCGAGTCATGGGTTTAGACTCGCTAACAGCCGCTCTGATTCAGATGAAAAGGGAGCCGTCACAATCATTATGCACTAAGATAGCAAACCGATGGGAGAGAGGCCACTCTGACATACCTCCCCCCTCGAACAAGGAGCTCCCCAGACTGTGGTCTCAGCTCAAGGATCTGCCTTCTCAAAAGCTTGCCTCGCTCCTATGGCCCCAGTCGCATCTAGCAGTCCCCACTGCATCATGGCTAAGAGATAAAGGAATGGAGATTGATATTCAATGTGACAGATGTCAGTTGGCGGAGGAGACGTCGCGACACTTGTGGTGGGAATGTCCCAAGTCGAAAAAGTGGTGGGAATGGTGGGAAAGATATTGGAAATGAATCACAGGGGACGAAATTCTGACCGGGTAGAGATGGGTGTTAACGGGGAGTCTGCCAGATAACTACCCGTGCACGGAAGGCTGGGGCTACGGGGCACAGGTGGCCAGGGCTGCAATGCTCTGGGTCATCTGGCAGGACAGAAATGGCCTTAGATTCAGAGGGGAAGGTCTGCACGAGAAGCAGGCCGAGGCAACTTTCAAAGGCTTACTGGTTTCGGCCACAAGGGCCGATTGGGACAAGAAGGCTGGCAGGGGGCGTCGAAGGGAGGGTCTGTCTTGGTTCAGGAATACGTGGGCACAGAGTGACAGACTGGCATCTATCTCTACGGAGGGAAGACTTGTGGTCAGCAGTTGGCTAGAGCATGGGTAGAGGGGGATAGTGTGAGGTAGGTTTCTCAGAACCAGGACACTCGGTTCCTTTGACGGTAGCTGTGGGCCGTACGGGTAGGGGGGGATGGAGCGTGTCACCTTTCAAGAGGGAACGGTGGTTCCCCTCGGCCGGTTGGAGGCCGAGGTCCAGACCGGAGTAGGTCTGAGTTAGGTAGGACTAGATTAGCATAGGCTCGGTTTGGGTGGTAGTTTAACAGTTACGTGTAGTGGGGTAGGTTCTGGTTCAGTGAAGTCATATAGCCGCAGAGTGGCTAGGAGGTATCTAGTGGTTGGCATGCTGTCAAGTGTAGTCTGAAGTTTGGCTGAGCAATGAACTCTTGCGTTGAAATGTGTTTCGTGGTATTTTCCCCTCGGATGGACTCAGTTTGAGTCTGTAAGCTAAACCGGCTGATGGATGCTGCCGGGATAACTCCGGGTTGAATTGTGGGGTCCCCGGCCTCGTTTCGATCTCTAATGCAATTAGTTTTGTTCAAAAAAAAA